GCCCAATTCGAGTCTTCATACATGTACTTTGGATAATGATGTCCATCACATTCCACCATCCTTGCTAATCCCCTGCCTCCTGCCTTTCCCTCCCTACCCTCTTCCCTATCTAGAATTCATCTATTCATCCCATGTTCTGCCTCCCTACCCCACTATGAGTCAGCCTCCTTATATCAGAGAAAACATTTGGCATTTGGTTTTTTGAGATTGGCTAACTTCACTTAGCATTATCTTCTCCAATGCCATCCATTTACCTGCAAATGCCATGATTTTTTTCACTTTTATTGCTGAGTAAAATTCCATTGTGTATATATGCCACATTTTTTTCATCCATTCATCCACTGAAGGGCATCTAGGTTGGCTCCATAGTTTAGCTATTGTGAATTGTGCTGCTATAAACATTGATGTGGCTGTGTCCCTGTAGTATGCTGTTTTTAAGTCCTTTGGGTATAGCCCAAGGAGAGGGATAGCTGCGTCAAATGGTGGTTCCATTCCCAGATTTCCAAGGAATCTCCATACTGCTTTCCATATTGGCTGTACCAACCTGCAGTCCCACCAGCAGTGTATGAGTGTGCCTTTTTCCCCACATCCTCGCCAACACTTATTGTTGTTCGTATGCATAATAGCTGCCATTCTGACTGGAGTAAGATGATATCTTAGAGTAGTTTTGATTTGCATTTCTCTGATTGCTAGAGATGATGAACATTTTTTCATATATTTGTTGATTGATTGTATATCATCTTCTTAGAAGAGTGTGTTCAGGTCCTTGGCCCATTTATTGATTAGATTATTTGTTTTTTTGGTGCTAAGCTTTTTGAGTTCTTTATATACCCTAGAGATTAGTGCTCTATTTGATGTGTGAGGGGTAAAGATTTTCTCCCAGATGTAGGTTCTCTGTTCATCTTACAGATTATTTCTTTTGCTGAGAAAAACTTTTTAGTTTGATTACATCCCATTTATTGATTCTTGGTTTTAATTCTTGCGCTATAGGAGTCTTATTAAGGGAGTTGGGGCCTAATCGCACATGATGAAGATTAGGGCCTACTTTTTCTTCTATTAGACCCAGAGTCTCTGGTTTAATTCCTAGGTTCTTGTTCCATTTTGAGTTAAGTTTTGTGCATGGTAAGAGATATGGGTTTAATTTTATTTTGTTGCATATGGATTTCCAGTTTTCCCAGCACCATTTGTTGAAAATGCTATCTTTTCTCCAGTGCATGTTTTTGGCACCGTTGTTTAATATAGGATAATTGTAATTTTGTGGGTTATTTTCTGTGGCCTCTATTCTGTACTTTGGTCTACCAGTCTGTTTTGGTGCCAATACCATGCTGTTTTTGTTACTATTGCTCTGTAGTATAGTTTAAGGTCTGGTATAGCGATGCCACCTGCTTCACTCTTCCTGCTAAGGATTGCTTTAGCTATTCTGGGTCTCTTATTTTTCCAGAAGAATTTCATAATTGCTTTTTCTATTTCTAGGAGGAATGCCATTGGGGTTTTGATCGGAATTGCATTAAATCTTTATAGTGCTTTTGGTAGTATGGTAATTTTGATAATATTAATTCTGCCTATCCAAGAGCAATGTAGATCTTTCCATCTTTTAAGGTCTTCTTTGATTTCTCTCTTTAGGGTTCTATAATTTTCATTGTATAGATCTTTCACCTCTTTTGTTAAGTTGATTCCCAAGTATCTTATTTTTTTTTGAGGTTATTATGAATGGGGTAGTTTTCCTCATTTTCTTCTCAGAGGCTTTGTCACTGATGTACAGAAATGCTTTTGATTTTATATCCTGCTACTTTGCTGAATTCATTTACCAGTTCTAGAAGTTTTCTGGGTCTTCTAGGTATAGAATCATATGGTCAGTAAATAATGATAATTTAAGTTCTTCTTTTCCTATGCATATTCCTTTGATTTCTTTCATCTGTCTAATTGCTCTGGCTAGTGTTTCAAGAACTATATTGAATAGAAGTGGTGAAAGAGGGCATCTCTGTCTTGTTCCAGTTTTTAGAGGGAATGCTTTCAATTTTTCTCCGTTTAGAATGATGTTGGTCTGGATAGCCTTTACGATGTTGAGATATGTTCCTATTACCCTAGTTTTTCCAGTGTTTTGAACATAAAGGGGTGCTGTATTTTGTCAAATGCTTTTTCTGCATCTATTGTGATGATCATATGATTCTTATCTTTAAGTCTATTGATGTGATGAATTACATTTATTGATTTCCATATGTTGAACCAACCTTGCATCCCTGGGATGAATCCCACTTAATCATGGTGCACAATCTTTTTAATATGTTTATGTATTTGATTTGTCAGAATTTTATTGAAAATTTTTGCATCTATGTTCATTAGAGATATTGGTCTGAAGTTTTCTTTCTTTGATATGTCTTTGCCTGGTTTTGGGATAAGAGTGATAATGGCCTCATAGAATGAGTTTGTAAGTGCTGCCTTTTTTTTTTTTTCTATTTCCTGAAATAAATTGGAGAGTATTGGTATTAGTTCTTCTTTAAAGGTCTTGTAGAACTTGGCTGTATATCCATCTGGTCCTGGGCTTTTCTTGGTTGGTAAGCTTTTGATGGCTTCTTCTATTTCCTCACTTGATATTGGTCTGTTTAAATTGTGTATATCTTCCTGACTCAATCTGGGCAAATCATATGACTTACGAAATTTGTTGATGCCTTCAATTTCTTCTATTTTATTGGAGTATAAGATTTCAAAATAATTTCTAATTATACTCTGTATTTCTATAGTGTCTGTTGTGATATTGCCTTTTTCATCATGTATGCTGGTGATTTGAGTTCTCTCTCTCCTCCTCTTCCTTAGTGTGGCTAAGGGTCTGTCAATTTTATTTATTTTTTTCAAAGAACCAATTTTTTGTTTTGTCAATTTTTTCAAATGTTTCTTTTGTTTCAATTTAATTGATTTCAGCTCTAATTTTAATTATTTATTGCCTTCTACTGTTTTTGCTACTGGCTTGTTCTTCTTTTTCTAGGGCTTTGGGATGTAGTGTAAGGTCATTTATTTGTTGATTTTTTTCTTTTTTTAAGGAATGAACTCCCTGCAATGAATTTTTCTCTTAGTACTACTTTATTAGTGTCCCAGAGATTTCGATATGTTGTGTCTATGTTCTCATTTACCTCTATGAATTTTTTAATCTTGTCCTTGATGTCTTATGTGACCAATTGTTCATTCAGTAGCATATTGTTTTGTCTCCTTGTGATGGAGAAATTTTTATTTTTAATTTTGTCACTCATTTCCAATTTCATTCCATTATGATCTGATAAAATGCATGGTAGCTATCTCTACTTTTTTTGTGTTTGCTAAGAGTTGCTTTGTGGCATAGTATATGGTCTATTTTAGAGAAGGATCCATATGCTGATGAGAAGAAAGTTTATCTGCTTGATGCAGGTTGAAATATTCTATATGTATTAGTTAAGTCTAAGTTATTGTGTTATTGAGTTCTATAGCTTCTTTATTCAACTTTTGTTTGGAAGATTTATCCAATAGAGAGAGAGAGGTGTATTAAAGTCACCCAAGATTGTATTGTGGTCAATTTGACTCTTGAACTTGAGAAGCTGCACCATTGTGTGGGGCATATATATTTATGATTGTTATGTCTTGTTGGTGTATGGTTCCCTTGAGCAGTATGTAATGTCCATCTTTATCCCTTTTG